AAAAAAAAAGCTGGGCATTGTGGTGGGCACCTATAGTCCCAGCTACTTGGGAGGTTGAGGCAAGAGAATCACTTAAGCCCAAGAGTTGGAGGTTGCTGTAAGCTGTGACACCATGGCACTCTACCCAGGGCAACATAGTGAGACTCTGTCCCCCCACCAAAAAAGAAACAGAAATCCTAGAGTTCAAGAAATCAATAAATGAAATACAAAATAAAATTGAGAGCTACAACAATAGACCAAGCAGAAGAAAGAATTTCTAAATTTGAAAGGTCTTTTGACACAATATAGCCAGACACCCCCAAAAAAAGAATAAAAAATAAAATAGAATAAAGAGAAAAAGACAGCCCACAGGACTTAAGGAACAGGTGAACAAATATTCACATAATAGACATCCTAGAAGGAGAAGAGAGGGGAAAATATAGAGGACGTATTTAATGAAATAATAGCTGACAACTTCCCAAGTCATGGGAGAGAGAAAGAAATCCAGATCCCGGAAGTACAAACTGATTTAACCCAATTAGGTCTTCTGAGGCACAGTATTGTCAAATCATCCAAAGTCAAAAAACAAAGTATTCTAAAAACAGCAAGAAAAAGTGTCAAGTCACATATAAGACAATTCCCATTAGACTAATAACAAATTTCTCAGCAAAAACCTTACATGTCAAGAGACAATGGGACAAAACATTTAAGTACTAAAAGGAAACTACCCCTGACAAACAAGATTATATCCAGCAAAGATATCTTTCAGAAATGGAGAAATAAAATCTTCCATAGATAAGCAAAAATTCATCACCACTAGATTAACCTGAGAAGAAATGTTCTAGGGACTCATATTTCTGAAAGCAAGAAGATAATCATGTCATTAAATAAGCTAAACTATGAAACTCACTGATAAAGCTAATATACAAAGGAGAAAGAGAACGGAATGAAACCTATCACTAGAAAAAGCACCCAACCTCTAAAACAAACAATAAGGAAGGAAGGAAGGAACAAAGACTATACAAAACCACCAGAACACAACCAGTAAAATGACTGGAGTAAGTCCTCACCTGTCAGTAGTAACCTTGAATGTAAACAAATTAAATTCCCCATTTAAAAAATATAACCTGGCTGAACTAATGTTTTTTTTTTTTTTTTAAGTCCACAAGCATTGGCTCAGTGCCTGTGGCTCAAATGGTTAAGGCGCCAGCCACATACACCTAAGGTGGCGGGTTTGCATCCAGCCTGGGCCCACCAAACAACAATGATGGCTGCAACCAAAAAAAAAAAAATAGCTGGGCGTTGTTGCAGGCGCCTGTGGTCCCAGCTACTTGGGAGGCGGAGGCAGGAGACTCGCTTGAGCCCAGGAGTTGGAGGTTGCTGTGAGCTATGTGCCACGGCACTCTACCCAGGGGGACAGCTTGAGGCTCTGTCTCAAAAAAAAAATAAAAAAGTCCACAAGCATTTATTGAGTAATTATTATGTACAAAGACATAGGGAATACAAGTGACTATGACATGACACCTGCCTCAAGTAAATCATGTGTAACCAAACTTTAACAAGATAGAGTCACCCTGCCCTGTTTTAAACTCTGACTAACTGATTACACCTCACGGGCAGTTAAACAGTTGTTTGTTGAATCTCTGTGGGGTCACAATATGTAGAGATAGTTTGGATTGTTTTAGTGTAAGTTACAAAGAATATTCCTATTAGGCCACAGCTGCCCCCAAATATAAGTTTGTTTTTTAGTGTGGTAGATGTTTATTGTCTTGGTCTGATTATCTTGGGATAAACAAAACCATTTAGTTAATTATGATAACTTCTCAATAAACTTCAGTAGAATGTCAAATTTAGTAGAAGATAACATGTATCTATGAAGGTGAACTTGGAGAAAAATATTTTGAATTTCTCCACTGACTTCTGAATTTTTCTTTTTGTAATGGAAA